TTGATTTGAAAATTAAAGAATTAACGAAATTGAATCAAGTATGGAATTTTTATATCTAGAATGAACAAAATATTATGGATCAAAATATAAATGAGTGTTATATAGAGATGACAAAAGCATAAAAATTAAAGAGTAACAAAATCATACTGGACGTTTTGTCTCTGAAAGAATATATTTTTTAAAATTTTGACAAATATATATTCGTATCGTATAATTCAAAATTAAGAATTGTGACAAATTCTTCGAATCGAATCTTATTATTAGAAATCCGGTGCTGCAATACTGGAAGCAATTGGCAAAAATAAAAAGAAATCTATAAACATCCACAATATAACAATGGAACAATCTATTTTGTAGGGAATAAAGTTTCTTTTCGTGTAAAAATTGGATCCCTTCTTCTCCATTAGAGCTGCATGGAAAACAATAATTCGTTATCCAAATAAAGGAGAAAAAGTCTGGCGCGATCGATAAGATTGGAAGGCCTCGTTCTCCCGGAATGAAATTTCCAGAGATGTATTTCCTCCGAGCATTTCTCGAATGTTTCCGCGGGACGACAGCGGGAAGGCAGATACCTCGGTTGTTATCTCGATGTTACATGCTTAGACAGTCGGTCGAAAGCAACTCTCTTCGATTACGTTTGTCAGGGGAGACATCCGATCCTTTTTATCTTGCTCCTCAGACGAGGAAATTTCATTCAACTTTGCATCCAACTGGCTCATAGATCTTTAAAATAACGAATAAGTTTGGAGGGGAGAATTCGTGAGATGGTTGGATAAGTGAAATTCAAGTGAAAATGAAAATCTAATTTTTTGAAAATAATCGAAAAGAAAGAGAAAAAGTAAAGATGGAAGATTAATGTTTGTTATTTGCCATGTGATTCGAGTTATCAAAGTGATTACTAATGAAATTTTATAATAAATTACAAATTGTCCGTATTTTCTTTACATCAGATCTGTTTTAAAATTATATTATTTCGAGCTTAATTTTGAAATAAAATCATTCTCGAGAAACAATCTATGTTTTCGAAAAGACACGTAATTACGATTTTAAAAAAAATAGAATTATACGTGCACGTATATTGACTTGAAAAAGATGACAAAATATTGAAGGAAAAATATTATAAAATTTCGCATTTATATTGGCATATAATTATTCTATCCCAATTGAAAACCGATTCCTTCGAAAATCGATCGATTGGCAGAGTCAAATTGGTAATTCGATTAAACCACGAAACAAGAAACTTCTTTCCCTGGACCAGACTTAACAAGTCGGCAGTCAGGTCAGCCCAGAGAAAGTTTCTAATTGGATGCTTTTAAGCGACTTGTCGCCTAACTCCGCACCTGCACGCATTACCATTTTAACCTTGCTCGCTTCGAGGGTAGCCGTAAGTCATATGCAAATATCGGAAGGCACTTTTGCTGGAAAGGCACAAGGATGTCGTTAGAAGCGGAAAGTCGGAAGGTAGAGTCGAATTTCCAAAGGAAACGCGCGAATAATTAGCCACGACGCCACTAGAAGGCGCAAGAAAGCGATTAATTAAACATCCTGTCCGCAATGGCGGCATTAAGGGCAACCGTGATGTATATTCTAATTGTTCAATGTTTAAAACCTATCATTGATTTTGGCAAACTCTCAAGAATATCTGACGAGAATTTTGGCTTCACTTTATCTGGAAAATTTAAAGTTTTCATTATATATCTTATTAAATAACGATTTATTTAAGAATTTCATTCATTATATTATTATTTTTATTTTGCCATTGATACTATTTATTTTTCTTTATTTCGATATTCGTCTGCTCTTCCATTTTGTTTTATTCATTGTTTTTATTAATTATTAATCCTCGATATTATTTATAAGGCATATTAATAAATCCATTGATAAATATTATTATTATTTTTAATTCTGTTTAGTAAAAAAAAAATGAAATTTTTTTTTTGAGACAGTATATCATAATATGTGGAAAATCTATATAGAAGATAATATAATCCCTTTGATATTATTAAATATTGATCGTTTCTCTTTGTTAATGTTACGTTCGTATCGTGGATTCATTGTTTGGACTATATTACCATTCTTTAATGATTCCTTTTAAAAACTTGCTGTTGAATATTTACGCGGGCAAAATGTTTCCATTGTATCATTCATTTAAGAAGAAATAAACATTCAATGGGACTTATAGGGTAAACGTTTATATTCCACAAAAGTTGCTCCTTATTAAATATGAAGGAATAAATTCTGTCTAGAACGAAAGGAAGCTAAACACTCCAGGAACATCGTCGACTGTATTGAAGAAAATATTTCCCTCTTCCCTCTTCCCTTCGTTCTAGTATGAAATATTTATTTCATGTAGTTGCTTAAAATATTTTGACAACAGAGTGCTCGATTCAATCGGACAATTTGTTATATGTAAATAAGAGAATGTAAATTTATTATTTTATTTATGTGATGAAACATATAATAAATATGAATAAAAATTCCAATAAAAATAATAAATATTAATATGAATTAAATGAAATGGAAGGAGAAACAGAATGTTGTAGAAAAAAAATAAATATTTAGAAAAAATATTATATGATACAATTGAAATGTCATGTGTAGATAATTTAAAATAAAATTCTAATTTAAAATAAAAAAAAAAAAGAAACACATAAAATAAAAAAGATATATAAATAGGAATAAAAATAAATTTTAATATTATAAATTAAATGAAATGGAAAAATGACAGATTACAATAACAAATTTTTAATATTATTTTTTTCTCTTAAAATGATTCAATATTTTATCTAAAATCTCAATAAAAATAAATATTAATATAAAACTAATTAAATGAAAAAAAAAATAGCAACTAAAATATGATAAATAAATAAAAAAAAAAAACTCTGATTTAACAGAGTTCTCTATCTCTATTCTCTTTTTATATTTTTCATTTTTCTTAATAAGAAATCTTTCCAAGATAAGCAAGTCATATCTAAATGATTCCTCGTTCGATAATATTTAATTATTTTTTACTTTCTATTTTCTTGCCAATGCAACAATATTGCCAACTAATGTCCTAGTAAAATATGGATTTATCTTTTCGGTATAATTACTGTCACTTCTGAATTTAAAGCACTCTTCCTTAATAGAAAGCTACCCGTTAAATATTCATAAAGAGTTTTACTACTCATGGTAGCTTTCGAGCTGGTAGCTTTGTATATCTGAAATGCTTCCAAATTTTCAAGGAATATTTCGATGCAATTGTCACAGTGAAATAAATTTTCAAATTATTCTTAAAAAATCTGAATCTACAATCAATTCCGCATATTTGGATTTGTAGAAAAAAGGAATTTACTTACTAAGATATTTCAGTAAATTGATATTTTTTTAAATAACAGCAATAATTGATTTGTTTCTCTTTTAAATAATAATATGGAATATTGATTAATTATTTCATTTGATATAAAAGAAAATTTATTTTTTTTTTATTAACCCATATTTCAATAATTTTCAATTTTCTAATTTTGGAATATAAATTAATAAAACTTTAGTCCAACTATGAATGTGAAAATCTTTTGAAATAAAAATAATAAATTTTTACTCTTACACTAAACAAAAATATACTCAGATTAATTAGCATAAATGTTAAATTTAATCAATTTAATAATTCGACGTAAAACAATTGCTTACATTTCATTTTATAGATGTGTATTATTACAGGTTCACGTAACTCTGTCTTAATATATTAAAGGAAATCGTGTAGGCGCATACATATGTATATGTGCATATACGTTGAACACACATATATGCAAAACTATAACTGCATTTAACATCTCAGAATTGCGTTTAACACACCGCTATAATCCAATAATTCCGAGGATGGTCCTTTGATCATCGGAACTGTAGTGGTATCGGAAGTGGTACAAACTTGATATTTAACTAGAATAGGATGCATCAGAATTTGACTTTATACAGATATTTCAACGTTAATGAACACGAGTATCATTGTTTTACAATAGATACACACGCATTTTAATCCGAAACTTATTTAATCATAACTTCTAAAAACAATCTCTCTTCCAATTTTACAATTTTTTGTCTCTTGTTCCTTTTATATATTCATTCTACCATTCCAATTATCATCCACATATTTAACATTTTTTGTAAAGAAGAAAAATAAGAAAAACTGATCAAACAAAATTGCTTCCTTGAAAATCGAATAAAGCTAAAATCATTAAGACGCGAACCTTCATCGACGTCAACGAGATCTCTCTAACGAAAGAGAAGAAACTTCGACCAGAAATTTCACGGCGCCTCGTTAAATTCGTCGCTTTGATCGTCAGGGTCGCAACGGTAGAGGGTCGATTTTCGTGTGGGCGTCAGGAAACGGGGGCAGGGATCACGACAACTGCAACTGCGACGGTTATACGAACAGCATCTGGACGTTGTCCATCAGCAGCGCGACGGAGAACGGCCAGGTGCCTTGGTACAGCGAGGCGTGCTCGTCCACCCTGGCGACGACCTACAGTTCCGGTTCATCGGGGGAGAAACAAGTGGTGACCACTGACCTGCATCATCTTTGCACGACCAGCCACACGGGCACGTCTGCATCGGCACCCTTGGCAGCCGGTATATGCGCCCTCGCCCTCGAGGCTAACAGAGACTTGACTTGGAGGGATATGCAACATATCGTCGTGAGAACTGCGAAACCTGCCAATTTGAAGGCTATGGATTGGATGACCAATGGTGTTGGACGAAATGGTGAGTTGGATGAATTTTCTTTTCCGAATTTTTATACGCCACGTTTATGGCATTTGCATTATCGTTCAAAATTTTAAAAATTTAATTTTTTTTTGAAATAGAATAAAAAATGGAGATTGTCATTTTGATGAAATTTAGAAAAGAAAACGCTTCGTTGAGAAATAAAAGTATGTGAAAATATTTTTGTATGAAATGAGAATTATTTAAGTTATAGAATTTACAACATGTTAAAAACGATAGTTTAGAAAAAGTGTATTGGAATTGCAATTAAAAGTGTAAATATTTTTTGATGGATAAGAATTAAATTTTTAAGATAATATTCATTAACAAAAATGCGTTGATATGCGTTTTGATATAATTTTTTTTTTTTAAATTTCTACTTTTTACTTAGTGAGCCATAGTTTCGGTTATGGCTTAATGGACGCTGCTGCCATGGTGCGGTTGGCCAGAAGATGGCGAACAGTACCAGAACAACACAAATGCGAGGTGTCAGCACCACACATGGGCAGGTTAGTCGGTAATTTATTGCAATAATTATAAAATCAATAAACAAAAATCAAATAAAAGAGAAAAAGATTGAAAGTTGATCGTGCCAATTTTAAAATTTATTCCTAATTTGATAAAATTTGACGGGAGGAAAGGAACAACGTATTTTTTTCTATTAAATTCATACGTGCCTTCTTCCTATGGATGGAAATGTGATTTATAGAAAGATTTAAGTCACCGGAAAATATAAAAATACAATTTAGGATCCAATGCCTTTTGTGATATAAATGACTATGTAAGACGTGACGATGCAATTCGATCCATCACTATTTCCGCCACGTACAGTCCGCTTTGCATCGCTCTGATGACGATAAACTGATTCCAGGAAATAGCTTTTGCAACGCGTGCACCCGATTTAATACCGATTATTCCAAAGATCGTTCACCCTTCCAAATGGAGAAATTTTATAGACGAATGAAAATAACATATTGTACACTTATCAACTATTCCACGTCGTAAAATTAGAAATAGGGAAACTAGTAATAATAATGAAATCATGGAATTTCTTATTTCTGGAGCTGACCTAAATTTCGTATGTGCGTACAGGCCAATACCGCCAAAGAGCCAGCTAACTCTGGAATTGAACGTCAAGGAGTGCAGCGGCGTTAATTTTCTCGAGCACGTGCAAGTAAGTACTATGTCACTCACTTTAACTAGTAGGTTAAATAATACTTTTCGTCTGAAATAGGTTTCAATCACGTTTATAACTAGGGATTTGCCCTACCTTAAATTTTTCTAAATGCATCCCGCTTATTCGATGAATTATTTTTAACGTTAATAATGAATTGATTATCAAAATTAATAAATTGTTTTTTTAACAACCAAACTAACGTTCACGTTTAAACATTTAATTATATTTAATTTCTTGATAATTAGAAAAATTAGAGTCAAAATATTTTTCATATTTCAATGTTTGGATATTTATCGATGTTCCTTGAAGATTATACGAATTAAATCAATATATTATTTTTCTAACTATTAATATCAATATATATTATGTGTATTACACGTTTCACTAGGCAAAGGTTTCATTGATGGCATCGAGAAGAGGGGATCTTCAGATACAACTAACATCTCCACAAGGAACAAAGAGTACCCTTCTTGCAAAAAGGCCACACGACGTCTCGAAGGCTGGTTTCAATCAATGGCCATTTATGTCGGTTCACACTTGGGGAGAAAGTCCACGCGGCATATGGAAACTTGAAATTCACAATGAGGGTCGATACCAAGGTAAGTCCATTGTATCCATCTTTTTGTTCCATTCTTTCATCACCTACGACATTTCCAGATACATCGAGTACAATCTCGTTCGTATCAGAAATTTTCTAAGGCTTTATGCAGAGCTGGGGAAAAATTGATATTTGAAATAGATAATTGGAGATAAATATTTTCAGAAGTAAATTTTTTCGAGTGATACTGAATTTTAAACTTTTCTTTGTTGTTTGGAAATTACGTAAATATTTCATTAATAGTTATAATAATACTTTAAATAAGCAATTTTTAACTTTAACAATATATTATATTATTATATAAAAATTCAATCTATTTTCAGTGTTTAAAGAAAAATGAAATATAATCTTCGACCTTTATTGCGTTTGAATTAATCAGAAAATAAATACTTTATTTGCGTCAAATTCGAATGGAGATTATGTAATATAATATTTAATTATAGAAATTTTTTAATTTTAATCTAGTATTGTTTTCAAATTTTTCTCAGCTTTGACTTTGCATCCTTTCACAAATTTCACAAATTATATATTATTATTAATTGATAATCTTGATTCATATGAATATCATTGCAACTATATACGATATCATTTAAATTTTAGAAATAATGTATCTAAAATTAATAAATGCCTTTAAAAAATTAATATTTTCAATAAAAATACGTGTATTTTAAGTATTACAAAATATATATTAAATAAATATTCTATAACTCTCATTAAATCATAAATATTTGAAATATTTTAAATTTTCTGTATGTTTTAAATTTTCCAGTTTTATAATAAAGGAGAATATTTATTGAATTCTTTTCAGATAAAATTCACTCGTTAAAAAAAAGCATAATCACTTTTGTGCAAATGTTTTTACAGGTTCATTAAAATTAATAGCTAACTAAATATTCGTTATTATAACACTGCATCTTTGTAAATCGTAAATTTTCAACAACGTCTTTTGTGCATTAGATATATTCAAGGTACAGGTGTTTGTATCTGATCATCTTCATCATCATTAAAGTGACATAACACGATGAAGTTGCCGAGTAGATATCGAAAGTTTTCAAGTGTATGAAAGTTTATCAATATGGATAAACACTCTCAAGATGGTGCATCCTTTGGTCACGAATTGGTCGGTTGAGAAATACTCTTATTTTATTGATTTTATTCCTTGATATGAATACGTATTAAAAAATCAGTAGCATCTTTCCACCTTCCTCTTTCATCTCAAACTATTAATTTGTTGCAAATGGAACGACCTAAGAGACTTTTTATTATATAATTTTTAAATTAATAAAACTTTCAATATTTATAATTTCACGAACTTCACGTTGAAAACGATATTATCAATCAAAGTTTGACTCAAGAAATATTCAATATTCAAATTCATCATCAAGACTTTCCAAAAGTATTAATTTTAAATATACATTTAACATTCCTAACAAATTATAATGATATCAAAAGTTGGAAACCTCTAATAACGTTTCGAATATTAATCCGTCATTTCCTTCTTCATCTTAAAAGCTTTAAATCGTTTAAAAATTACCTTCCAAACATTTTTCTACGCGAAAATCAATTATTTCGTATGCAACGATCCACCCCGCAAAATTTTCCATAAAGCCATGATCCAAGTTGACACAGTTCACGATCAGTCCCATAGATTCTAAACGGCCGGCGTAAGCATAGCAAGCTGCTATCTTATCATCCGATCTTCGAGGACATAAAGGGAATTCTCTCGTAAACCGTGCACGCGGGAGGACGTAAGCTGGTGCATCGCCCCTCCCAGGGGCATAATTCCCCTGTTCGAAGCGTGTTCCGTCGCGATCTCATCCGAATCCACGAAGCTCTCAAGGGAAGTTGACCTTGTGCAAGGGTGGAACCGTCAAAACCATTTCAAGCTAGGACGGCCGTTAAAGCCGATACGCGCATAAAGTTTGAATTAACGCGGGCTTGTAATCCAACAGGGGTCTCTCCGTGGTCTCTCACGGATAGAACCCCGCGCTATTATGTAGCCGTAATATGCAGGGTACATTCCCAAGTACCAGGTATTCAAACCATTACACGTTGTGTTTGCGCTGTGATTCCCTGGTATATTGCCGTGAAATCCGCTTCGTCACAACAACAATATTGCGACAGGAATTTCACTTGTTGGCCATCAATGATTTTCTAATCCCTGGCCACTGATAACCTCGATAGCAACACGACTTAGAAATACTCGAGGGGATGAGAAAATATTCTCCTACGAAGGATTTGAAGATTATTAGTTGTTTTTGGATTGTCATAAAATATAAGGTTAGTTAGATTTGTATTTGAAATCTGTGAAAGGTAAAGAGGCTTGTTTGAATTTCCTGATTTTGACTCGAAGAAAGAATATTTGTTATATTTCTTCAGAAGAAACATAAATCTTCTAGAATTATTTGCGCCGTTTAGATTTTTGATTTCGGTTTGGTATTTCATTATCAATGAAAATAACATGATTTAGTATGAATAATGAATGTTAAAAAATTCAGTGTCTCCTAGGATTTTCGAAAAAGAATTATGTCTCTACGTTTACATAAATTAATTTATCTTTTTATCGCACATAATTTTAAAACTTAGCACATTTGATAAATATAAATATCTGCCTATTTTACCACGTAATTCATCCACTAGTCAATCAACCAAAACTACATAAAGAAACTCTCAAATTTCTTGCCGCCTCCTGAACCCGACGACCAACCAACTCGCCAGGTCGCGCCATGCTTCACGAATGGGCGTTGATATTTTACGGGACGTCAACGCTTCCCGATCGAACGGAATACGCGTTGTACAATCCCGCCGGGAACATACCAAGAAGACCATTCGTTAAACCACGCGAGACAGTGTTCTCGAAGGCTCAGAACTCTCTCACGAGCTCGAAGATCAAGCAGAGCCAACAAAAATCGGAGAAGCCGGGTAGCCTCAGTCCACCTTACGTGGTGAACGCCCAGATACAGTCGCAGAGGAAGAGCAAGGCGCGTGGCCAGCATAAAAATGGCAAATCGGCCAATAAACCCACCCCAAAGCCAACCGTGCAAACGTTGAGAGGGTTGACCGTGGCGAGAGGACCTAACGTCGCGGGAGAGGTTCGCCTGATCACGTCCAGGCCGCGAGGAAGGAGCACACCCAGTCCTGTCACAACAACTGTCACCCAAACCAGTCCGCCCACCACTGTTCCAACCACCAAAGTGGCCAGTAGACAAAGAATCGTGGACGTGGCGACTGCCTCGTCTCTTCAGAGGGGTTTGATCCTCTTGGAACCAGCGAAACCTGCCATCAACAACGTGCCAGCCATTTTCCAACAGTATCCCAAGATTCAACAGCTCTATCCATTGTATCCTGTCTATGCCGGGGTTAGAGGAGCCGGACAGCAACACGCGACCAGGGCCAAGGGATTGGAATTGCTACAGGATGAACAGTTCGATTCGAAGAACTTGGATAAGGGTATTCCTCTTTCGTGGCTCGGTTGATGTTAATGTAACGAGCAATCCGTGGATGATTCAATTTCAGATTGTCTGGAAATTTTGGATTGATTTTCTTTAAGGATTGATGTTTGAAGATGGTTTGGTTTTGTTTGAAATACGTGTTGAAGTGTTGAGATATGTTTGAAGTTTGTTTGAGATATGTTTTGATTGGAATGAAGATTAATACAACTGGTAGAATAGGTATAAAATATTCTATTTGATGACAGTTGGATGCAAGAAAGATATATTAAGATATTATGTTCTTTTTTTTGAAATTAGCGATGAGACTCTTCTACTCTTCGATAATACAATTGTATAGATCTAAAATTCTGAGATTTTATTTTAAGAAAATTCAAATTGAATTATTTGTGATTTTAAGATTGATAACTTTTATAATTTTCTTACATATCTCTATATTAAATACCTATTAAAAAATATCTTTATATTATTTATATTATTGCTGAACATCATTCTATTTATATGATTTAATTTATAATATATTAAAGAAAATATTTCGTAAAATTTTCTCTATCAATTGAATATAAATCATTCAAGAGGAATTAGGTTGACTCTGATTAATATACGAAGAACCTAGTTATAATCCAGCTTGTCTCTTGTCAGGTTCATATAAATGGAGTTTTAGTGTAATTTAGTAGAAATATATTAACGTAAGTAGAATAACGATTATGAAAATATGAAGATATATTCAAATTATTAATAAATTCTAAATATAGTGTCAAAAGCTTGATTTATATTTCAAACATATTTTTGGCTATCTTATGAAAAATTTGTGATATTAGAAAATTAAAATAAAAATTTGTAATAAATATACGAAATTAAATATCCAATTATTGAAAATTATTTCCGGACAATCTAATAGAATGAATAAAATAAAAACTCTACTAGCGTGATGACGATGTTTTAAAATAATTTTAGTAAAAATATTTGCATGCACCATCCACGAATTCACGTTACATGCAATATTCTTTTACCGCATTTCGTAAAAGTAGTAAAATGTATACAATAGAACTGCATCCATGTGTACAATTACAGAATTAAGTGAATCCTCCTGCAATTTACTTTTTTGTGTACCTTATCTTCATTGTTCCTCCATTATTGCAACTGCACTTCAATGTAATCATTGTGGAATTTGTTTTTATGCTCTACATTCTTTTTATTCTTTGTTACCGTGTATCCTATGACCACTGAGATAATTTTTAGGTATTTTTAACAGCCTCTCTTGGATATATTTTTCGCTCACGTTTGCATCGATAAATAAGATAATTAGGAAGTATTACTATATAAAATTTTTCAATACATTGATGCGATTAAAGAATTAAAGTTGTGAATTATGCAAATGTCAAAAGCGGTAATTTTCAGTAAAAATCTATATTTCATTAACATTGCTAATTTAAATAATATCTAAAATAAATTGCTTTAATATTTGAAACGTTTCAATCATATTTGACATTTTTTTTCTTTTAGGAATTTGCATCCATTAAAACAATCATTTCTATTTTTATATCTTTCCATTTAAATCATTTAAACTCTACAATTACAAAATAATACAAATTTATACATTTATGATTGTATTAGTTGAAAATATCTTTAATCACATTCCAGCAACATAATTTTAATCTCGATCGAATTTTCATTCTTCTTTTTCAAGTCTAACAAATTTTGTTGCATGTTCTCGTGTGCTTTTTTAAAATATTACTCGAGCCTTTTATTTTATAACGATCGAAATTTAGCTTCTTATAATGGTATTATAACGATTACAAAGTTGTTAAAGCTATTAAGGTAGTCATACATACGCAAGCTATGCCGTTTAATCAAAACTTTCGATAACTTCGTTGCAGATAATGCTTCCCCTATCTGATTCGCTTGTATGCATGAAAATGTGTGTTTAGTATATTGTAGAAGTATGCTTCAGGCAGTGCATAGTACGCAAACATTAATTATTTGTTAAAATATGTATCATCGATAATTGATTAACCATCAATTCATCTAATTATTTCAAACGAACGTTTAATTGGCAATTATTTATTTAAATATCGTTTCATGAAATACAATACACATCTCATTCGAGCTATTAAAAAATTTATCGTGTCAATCCTCCTCGACGCTTTGGAAATCTCGTTTCTCATATAATTTTCCTATGCACTCTGTGTACTATAGATAAGAACTATAATTTGTAGATCATGTTGATCTTTTATAACAGAAATAACAGCCTAGCCTTTATTGGCCTCTAACATTTCCATTTTACCCTTAAGTGAGTTTCATAAAACGCCCTCAGGAGGTACGATAAGTACTCGGATACTTTAGGATCATCGTACGTTTATCGTTACATATTTTATTGTCGTTCATATACATGGAATTTACGATTACTCTTTTGCAAAAAAGAAAAATAAAATGTGAACGACGAACACTTATAAAGATTTGACTAAAACATATCAAAAATTTGCAAAGAGTTTAAAAGTCGAAAAGTCCAATGGATTATTCAAATTTCTTACATCATTACTTTCTATGCTTTTATTTTCCATATTTACTATTTTCTAATTATTATTCGTTTGATATATATCAACGAATTTTCGATACCTATATATCACAATTTTAAACATTTTAAAACATTTTAAATTGTAGTTATATCGAAAAATAATCCAAAAAAAAAATCTTAAATCCAGATACAGATACAATTTTCCAAATTGGATAAAGTAAATATCACTTTTCGATTCATCACTCATTTCCTCTTCCACCAGATAAAAATTTCTCGAGCATCGTTATATATAACGCTTTATTAATTTCCCAACGGCAACGACATTGACACCCTATTCGCTTCACCTACTTCACTGTCACCGGGTTTCCAAGACCGCACCTCGAGGCACCCATCATCGAATACACCAAATACCTTGTGGGTGGTACACGGTTGTTCACCCGTACGAACGTAGGCATCACGCGCACGTGTGTGTGTGTGTGTGTGTAAGCGCGTGCGTGTGGATAATGCAAAGTGCACTCGTGTCACGTCAAATGGAGGCATCCATCTGTCGTTAGACGGTGGTGACATTAAGAAAACAGGAAAGACGGTTCTGTGCCTCGGTTCTGAATAAAGCTCGTTTTATTCGCGTACGCGCCATTTCGAATTTTTCGAGCGTATATGTAAATTAGTTGGATGATATTACACTATATCGAATATTCGGTGTTTTTTTGAATTCGGAGGGAAATGAATTTCGAATTTAAAAGAATACTTAATCGAATAAATTTTCTTTTTTTTTTTTAAAAAGAGATAAATTTCGAATTTCGAAAACATTATAAATTTATGTTATGAAACTAGAAAGAAAATTTTTTATAAAATCCGAATGGGCAAGTGAAATTGGTAAAAGTGAACGTTAAAGAATAAGTAGAGGGGTAAAAGCAGCTTTGATCTTGAAATGATTTTTAACATACATCATTTTATCTTGAATTCATGAAATTTGAATATTTAAAGAGAAATTTATTAGATTTATATGCGTGTCGTTTGGTTACATATATTTTATAATATTTTTCTTATTGTTTCAATTAATATTATAAATATAAATTTACAAATATAATCTCATAATTATTATACATATTATAAATTTCATATTATAACCTAATACAGTGTAATTATGAGATTATGATTAAATGTATATCATAATATTATGAATATTAACAATGGAGATCAGAGGTGATATTTAAATTATGCAAATGCGTTGTTGGCATAAATATTGTTAATAAATAAAAATTTATTATTAATAATATAAAGATAATAAATAAATAATTAATATTTACTTACTATCGAAAAAAATATTAACAATTTTGAAAAACATGAATTCGTTTCATTTTCATACGTGGATTCTTTTACTTCATTAATAATTTCAACGAATAATAGAATGTCGAATAAAAGAAAAATCAAAAAATTTTATTCAAAATTATTTCACGATATTCATCATTTTTAAATGCAATCTCTCTCTCTCTCTCTCTCTCTCTTTTAATATTTTTAATTTTATATGATTATAAAGCATTCGCTTATTCCATCGCCTATTCCATAAAAATTATCTTCGATGATTTATCATTTATGAATTCATCAAAAGAAACAAATAAATAATAAATACATTATATTGAAAAAATATATGATTTTAAAAGAAAAGGACTCGTTTGCAATCAATTTTTCATATATTATCCTTTATTCAAATATATATATATATATTTTACCAAAGGATAAAGAGTAAAAATTGATCGAAAAATTTGAACTGAAAAGTTTATGCAACTTGTTTAAAAATCGATTCAAAGAATATATAATTCAATGTGCTTTCATTTCATACACCATATGTTTACAAAGAAAATTAAAAATAAATTTCCTGCAACATCATAAATGAAATTTTAATTGAAATTTCTTCCTCTGAAATCTTTATGAAACACGTACGTATTCGAAACTATCGTTTAATTTTAATTTATTATTATCCTGTAAATTAATTAAATAGAAATAAAATATTTTCCCGCGAATTTTCATTTATCGTGTAGAACGATATTAATTTTCTTAAGTCTGTTTAACTTTTTTATATCCTTCTATAAGTATAATTTATTACAGTATATCACGTAGTAAATTTACGTATGCACACATTTATCGTTGGAAAATTATTTGTGCTGCTTCAAATGTATAATTAAATTAGAATATCTGTTTCTACACTGGCATGTTTAAGATATGTACAATTTTTCTCTTTTTCTTTTCCATAGATAATTATACGTTTCTGTTATTTTTATTTAAAAAAAGATCGTTTTAATAATCGCAATCAAGTTGATCAAGCAAATTGATTAATTTGCAATTAATTAAACGACTCGACAAATTTTTATATCATTTTAAATATTTTTATGCCTTATTATTGTCATTACTGTAGAATGTACTATACACAGTCAGGTGAATGTATTTTTGTGCATTTCCACAATTCACTTATAGCATTTCAAAGTATTTAGAGAAATTTTTATTTTCAGCATGTTCATATGTGTTTCATCAGTTGAAAAGCATCCTTTTATATATATATCTCGATATTAATGTTTTTAATTTTTCAACGACGAACGAATTCCATTGCACGACCCATGAATCGCTTGTCAGAAGAAATTAATTATTTTTTTTTTCTCAATAGCTACTTCTGAGAAACGATTTTCTTTTTCCATTATTTTACACATTTATATTTATCGTTTAGATACAATATAAATCGCAAGTGAAATGGAGACATCTTAACGTAAAATATAAGAAATTTATTTCAATTTGAAAAGTCTGATGAATATACTTGAACACAAAGAGTTCTATCCTCCATTGTTTTATCAAATTAATTAATCCATTCGACCATATGCGTCGTGCTAATTTCGATTCAAGGCGCCATATGCGCCATACAATGGAATTGAAAATTTTGCAACAAGAGACGTTCCTTTTTTTTACGAATAATATATCTAAAATAAAAATTCATATACATCCTATGTTGCAATCTCTCCAAGCAGAGATGGATATATAATTCTATAAATCTATAAATTGCTTGTACAACTGTTTCAAAAATTAAAAACAAATTTCTATATAACAATACGATAAATACCAGGCATACATTTTTCCAATCGCTATTTTTCTTCTTTATTACATTCTAAATCTAATATATAATCTCTCCACTTCACAACCGCGATCCAAACCCGCGCGTGAATCAAAAATCTAAAAACGACTCACCCATCCACATTCCAGACACATCCCTCGACGAGTTCAAACTAGTCTTCTACGGCACGGAAACGTTGTTGGAATTCGACGACGAGTTGGACAAGGACAAGCCGTTACCGCCCGTGAACCAGCAGGACGTGAGCCAGGACAACACGGCGATAGGGGCCAGGCAAAACGTGATGGTGGACACGGAGGGTGGGCCGTGGACAGGTAGCCAACAGGTAGAGCGCGTGTCCCATCCGGAAGTACAAAGACCTACAACCGAGAACCAGACGAGCGGTTGCAGCGGGATCGACACTGGAAATGGCAGGTGCCTAGGTGGGTGCCTCATTCTACTCCTTCTAGCCTACCTGCTCGGTGGAGCCAGTCTGGGCAACTTGGCGACCAGCTGGCAGAATTTTATCAGTGTAGGAAACGAGAGTGATCTCGAGACAATGTCGTGCCAAAGAACGGCCTGTCTCGACGCGAGTTTGCCGATCGACAGGCCGTCGTCGGGGGCCGTTTCGTGCTCATGATGACGCCTCCGGCCGATCGACATTTTCATTTGAATTCGGTCGAGAGCAGCCGTGATCGTGTATCGACGATCGTTTCGATTTCGAACAGCTTTGTGCAATTTGTGATTGACCGGACGACAGTTGTTGACGATCCTGCCATCGTCTCCTCTTCTCCTCATAGAGACGTTTCACGGAGGGAGAGGCCCCAAGGATGCGCCGAACATCGGATGTTTAAAGCTTAAAATTGTCCATGTGTCTGTCCACGTGATCCCAATTCTAGGGGTGGGATTGGTCCAATCAAATGTCGTGTATGAGAGACTATATATACATAGGAACAGTTGTTCCGTGGAACGAGAGAAGAGTTCGGTAATGGCTACGCCTTCAATGGCGTTAGGGACTATAATAGGTGGCGATCGAGTACGCGGGAAAATCGATTCCACAGTCTATGACTGTGCTTCTTTTGAATATGCAAAAGGCCTCTTGATTTTTCTCGCCGATGAATTATTCAAAATGGGCATCATCAATGCGTGTGTCTCTGCGAGAACGGGTCTCTAAAAATAACGATTTCGACGCGTGTGAAGAGAGAAATTCTTCGTTCCATTATTCTTCGAGAAGATTAATCATTGCTTCTGAAAATTTTAAACGCGAGTTTGTTCCTATCGCGAGATCGATTTTCTCTTGCGCTCGATCGAGCGAGAACAATTATTCCTTTCAACGTGCCACGTTCGACACGAGGTTTTAATTAATGAAACGGAAACATCCCGACGACACTTTTCTACCTGATTCAAAGGAGCCAAACTCGCGAAACTGCCATACTACGGGGATTCAAGATGGATCGTGTCCATGGCAGACCGATCTTGGTTAAATTACCTCGCGTAAATCTGTAGCGTTATTATCGGTAAAATTACGCGCCGCAAAATCGTTCAGGTTCGATTTCCTAAACAGCCAATTAATCATCAAAAGCTACTCGACTGCGTTTATTCACGAATATTCGATGGGATAATCTAGCCGTTTAAATTTCGAGATTCGATTCGATACGCGATTAATATGCGATCGCTACGTACGTATATATCGCTGGCCAAAAGTTTGGGATCGAATGAAGATGGATTGGATTTTTGAATTCCTCGTTTCATTCCATTATTCTTGGCACAAGAATGTTAGGGGAAAAAGATGTATTGAGAGTTTGTAAAGAGAAGTAGAAAATTCAATACGGTTCCGAGATTAATATTTTTTTAAGATGAAATGTAATTTTGCATCTCTTTATAGGAATTACTCGTTCAAAATAATAATCGTTCAAATGGAAGAATGAAAATTTGAGCATTTTGTATGATATGTTGATCGACAAATTTCTATTTCTCTTTGTGGAAAACTGAATGAGAGATGGCTCTCATTAAATTTTATTTTCTGAATGCTTTTTAATTTAAAAAAAATCAACAAAATATTGTCAGTTTTTAATAGACTCAAAGTTTCTACAAAATTAGAAATTGATCCCAAACTTTTGAATAATATTACGTACATTAGATTAATCCTTGTGTCTATGTTCCATTTCATCAAAAAATTTCGAAATCCAACTGAATTATCGTAATTTGGCATTCTACTATTGATTCTACTATTGATTTAAAAGTTCAAAATAGACTACAATTTCGTTACTAAAAAATTGTTGAAATTGAATGGTGTAATATAGAAATCTCGGAAATAGATATAAGAGTTAATCATTTCATACGATTCGATGCTAATTCAGTGTTCCTGTGTCGTTAATCCAGTGTTCAAGTGAACGTAAAGACAGAAACGATAAGTTCACGCGTTATCACGTTGCGTGTGAAAGAAAAAATTACAATCGTATTTCGATTTCACGCCAAAATAGTGATAATTAAAATATTTTTGTCCTCCTGTGAAACGAAAACTCGTAATTATAACAATGTGAAATTGGAATATGATTATAATTTGAATAAGGTAAAAAAAGGAAAAACAAGGAATGTCCATTTTTCACTCGATTTTCTAAACAATTATTATTTCACTTAATGTTAACTCTTTTCGTGGTATCTAATCAAAATATGCAACTCGTTTTATGAACAAAATACAATTTGGCCTAAAATTTCAAATCTTCACTCGTGCGTAAAAATTTCACAGAATTTTAAGAATTACCGAACTAAATCATCAAGATTTAATTCTCTAGGTAAAATTACAACATTCCTCCCCCATTTTAATCTCCAACAAATTTTTCCAATATGAAAAAAACAACTTAAGACACGTTAAAAGTTTCTTAAGTTTAATACTTCAAATTTGCATTATTCATCCTTATTCATCAATTTATTAATCAGAAATATCACAAAGTTCGCAACGTGATAAAACGTGAGCTGAAGAAAAAGACGACACGTTTCTTTCTTAACGATTCGCAAAAAAAAAACCAGAAGGAAAAACAAAAATATCGGTTCAACAATCTCGTAATGTTCGTCAACAATAGTTTCTCCTATCGATCGACGAAACGACCGAACGTGTTCCAAAAAAAAAAAAAAGAGAATTTCTCTCCGCGCCCCTTTCATCTCCTTCCGGCACCCCGCTTTTTGCCAGACGTTTCACTTTTATCTCCGCGTTTCTTGCTTTCTTGCCCCTGCACCGACCACCCCTTCCTTCCCTTTCGCTTCGTTTTCGTCCTCACCTCGCCCAACTTTCTCTTCCTCCACCACTTTCGGCTTTCTATACAACTTTTGCTTACCCAGCTGGGGCTATCACCACTGCCGGAAACAAAAAGGTAACGTTTACGACCGGTTGATTACGGCAAACAGCCGGGAACAAGGCACATAAGACTATCATCGATGCTGGCCTCCAAAGTACACGTTTGCCTAAGAGAGAGACCCTCCCCCTCTATCGCTCGGGGGTGTGGTGTCATCCATTTAAATGTACGCGATTTTGAGAAATTTTTTTGAAGATTAACATTCGAAGGAATTGGATAAGAATATGGAGGATCGAGTAATTTATCGAACGACTCGAGTATCGATACTTTTATTTTAATACGAAGGCTCTCTGAACTTGTGGATTGTGATGTCCACAGAAGTAGGTAGGAAATTTTGGACAATTATTTATTTCCAAACTGTGTGGAAATATGAATTATATGAATTAAAAATAAAATATCATATTTGTTCTATTGTTAAAATGCATTAAATTTTTATAGTAATTTTGAAAATTAATTATGTATTTTAATTAATTAATCGAGCGTAAATTTTGGCGAATGGTGTTAGAGTGAAAGTATCGATTGTCGAAGCTATCCTTGCCTTACAATTTTTTCAGTAGCTATTTAATCTATTTTTAGTAATCAAAAATCTCGAAAGTACAATAGTGAAGAATTATTTACTACGTAGAGGTAACACTGTTAAAAAATTGAAACTAGAAATCGAATTTTCATTCAAACTAAATACCATTGTAATCGTATTTTCTTGAATTGGAATTGTAATCCACAAAAGGCAAGGGGCCCGCTATTTTCTTTGCATTTTCGTTCATGGATCATTTTTCGAGCATTTTTAAAAATTGGCATTTTCAAGAAAATTAGTTCAAACATATTATATTATTTAAAATGATTAAACTCACTTTCCATTATTTTCTCAGATAAAATCATCTGTTAATCCTTTATCAAATATAAATATATTTTTAATTTTTAATAATATCATATTACACATTTATCTCTATTTCCAAATGAACTTTGTATAATTCATGAACGATATAACGTGTGCATATATCTCGGCTAACATAAATTGGCAAATATTAATCAACTTTTGAAGTCGTTCGAATAATTTACGTAATACGACCGCTTGTGTAAATCGTCACTAGCTTCATCGAAATTGATATTTTGGAAAATATGGCGCGTATAGGTGTCCATCGATTCGAAAGCAAATATTGGACAAATTTCGACTTTGAGGCGAGACCTGTTCGAATTCAAATTAGATATTAATCACGTTCGACAAACATGAACTTCATGATAATACATGCGACAAAAATTTCAAAGCTTCGATTTCGCGAGAAGAAGCCACTTTACTTAATTATTAAATAATCCTTGAAGCCTTCAAGGATGAAGAAGACGATCATTCGATTCGTCGAAAGTGAAAAAACGAGTTGAGAAGTAATGATTCGTTGTGAAGATTATAATTAGAGGAGGAATTTAATTACGATTTCATCGGAATCAATGAAACTTTTTCTGGAGGGATTATTAAAATGCCGGCTCGAGTAAAAATGGCGGAAAGGAGACGCGTATATACGAGCCATTGCCTTTAATTAAAACGATTAAAAGGATCATTGAACTTTCGAAGGAAATATTGGAAGAATCGGATGGTGGAAAGTTTACAAATGTATGAATAATAAATTAATCGAATAAAGTGGAGAATGAATCGTGATCAAAGTAACGATCGGATAATAAATGAAGGGGGTGAAGGGAGGGGTGAAGCGCGATTAAACAGGGAACGAAGTTACAATGTCGATGATTATAAAATTTGATCTGTTGCGAATATTACTTTTTATCTCGGGGAGGAGGGATTATATACGATTATCCGTTCGTTCGGGATAAAAGTGGAAAATATTGTATTCCATTCACGTTCACAGTCGATGATATTCGACCCTCCGCAATGAATAAATGAAAATGGGAATAAAAGGGATTCGGATTGTTTGTTAAAAATTATATGACGTTTGAAAATGATCTGAATTCGATCGATCCATCTCTCGACAATTTATGTTTCGAAAATTAATAGTTTTTTTTTTTTTTTTAAGTGCACATTGTTTTGCGCAGAATTGATTGATTTTACGAGTCGAAATCATTGAAAATTGATAAAAGTGCAA